TAATCTCACTATTTCAGAAGAGCAAGAATTAACTCATTTATTGGTATTAAATAAGACTTTCCTGAGCTTCTGGGGATGATAATATTTTACGTTTCTTGAGTACTGAGCAGAAAAATGGCCTTTAGCTGCTAGCAGCAGTTACCATGTAACCTATTTTAATCCACAGTTGGCTTGGTGCGCCTCCTATTTGCCACGACACGGAGTGTGAATGAAGAAAAATGTTCTGCTGAACAAATGGAGTCATCATCCCTTTAGAGTTTGAAATAAATGGGTCAGGTTTGCATTGTGACCTGGATTCTATATCTAAGCCGTTTAAAGCAGGGGAACACCATGACAAGACATCAAACAATACTCAAGAGGAAGCCTTGCGCTACATTCACTAATTATTCTCGAGGTTTCATGGGCAAATGTGTAGAAAACTGCTTCTTTTTTCATCTCCACTCACCTCATATAGATGTAACTGGCTCTGGCCTCTGCATAGCTCTTTGTAGCTTGTTGTGAATTCACCAATGAAATCGTGACTGTGGGAAAAAACAAAACACAAAACGTGTGTCATGAGGACGATGAATGTAGTGAAAAAAAAAAAAAACACAGCCTAACCCTACTAAAACACAAACTTTCTAATATTTAGTCTGTAAATTATTTTCCAATACTGGTAAAACTAATAGCAGAAATAGAAATTCAGGTTTAAAGCTATTTCATAAACAATCATAACATGGAGTGACAAAGCATAGATGATACTCTACAATAAGAGTTTTACAAGTTGATGTTGATCATTACCTCCCATCTCTGTCCCAGTCATACACCTCCGCCTTGATTGTCCTGTGAAGACACCACAGCAAGACAAAAGAGTTCATTTCCATAACGAGCTCCAACTTTGATGCCAGCAAGAAGGTACGGTATTTATTCAAAACAATATGTATTTTTTATGGATAATGGGTAAAACTGAAACTCTTAACAATCACATCATCTTGTTGTTTCTGTGCCAGACAAGTAATCTGTTATGTTTTCCACCTACAGCTAATGCATACACAACATTTAAGATTAGAATATTATATCAGACCAATGAAAATAATCTGAATACAGCAAAGGTTGTTATTTCCAAAAGGTGCTTCCAGTCTCACAAACAAGCCTCATCGAAACCCATATTCTGATTGACGGAGTATGACTGTGTTAGCCTGAGAGGATTTGAGAAGAGTAAAGAAATGCTGTCTCCATCCTTTTGAGCTGAAACGGGG